GGATTACTGCAAGTCTGAGGCCAGCCTGGGCTACATAGTGAGCTCAAGGCAAGACCCTGTCTCAAAAAAATAAAACAAAACAAAAAGGAAAGAAAAAACATCATCGTAGTCAAGTGTTGTGGCACATGCCTGTAATCCCAGTTACTTGGGGGGCTGAGGCAGGAGGATTACAAATTTGAGACCAGACTGAGCAATTTAGAAAGAATCTGTCTCAAATTAAAAAAAAAAAAAAAAAAAAAAAGTAAAAAGGACTGAGGATGTTGCTTTGCCTAGCATGCATCAACCCCTGGGTTCAATCTCCAGTACCACAAAAAAAAGCTGAGTGCAGTGACACACACCTGTAATTTTAGCACTCTGGGAGGCTGAGGCAGTAGGATTATGAGTTGGAGTCCAGCCTGGGTAATTGAGCAAGATCTTATCTCAAAACAAAAGAGACAGGGAGAAACAGAGAGAGAGAGAGAGAAAGAAAGAAAAAAAGAAAGAGGCTGGGGATGTAGCTCAGTGTGAAGGCCCTGGGTTCAATCTCTAGGGCCAGAAACACACACACACACACACACACAATCTATAGGGTTAGGCCCCTCATCTGAACTAATCACATCTGCTCCTCATGGGATTTGATACTCCATGGGTTCTGATGGGAAATTTTGTCGCAGTGCACCTCATTTGTTTGGTACTCAATGCACCGACTACAGCTCCAAATAGTCAGTGTCTTTTACCCTGTGCCTCAACAATCAACCAGAATAACGTGTTTACTGCGCATTGTCCTTGGTTCTCTTCAGGCCTCCAGAAACAGTATGGAAATGCTACTGTAAAGGCACATTCTGAGGTCAGGACTTTGTTTGTGACAGATTTGCATTCACTATGTGGTTCAGGCTGGCCTTCAAATCACTATGTAGCCCAGGCTGGCCTCAAACTCATGGCGATGCTCCTGCCTCAGCTTCCTGAGTGCTAGGATTACAAGTGTGCCATCACACTTAGCTGTGAGGTCAGGATTTTGAAGTGCAACAAATCACCCCATAACAGAGGTGCTATTTGGAAGACACGATTTTTTTCTTCGTACCGGGGATTGAACTCAGGACCTTGTGCTTGCTAGGCAGGTGCTCTGCCGCTGAGCTCTCTCCCTGGCCCTGGAACACATGATTTTGAGTTCTTGGCCCCTCTTCCACCTCTCTACTGGGAACCCGAATTGCTTCATTTTTTGAGACCAGGTCTTGCTCAGTTGCTGAAGTTATTCTCAAACTCATCTTCCTCTTGCCTTGGCCTCCTAAGTGCTGTGAATTAGAAAACCTGTTTTTGTTGTTGTTGTTGTTTTGTTTTGGTTTGGTTTGGTTTTTGGTACTGGGAATAGAACTCATGACCTCAGGCTTGCCAGGCAAGGACTTATGAGCTATATCCCCAGCCCAAAAACCTGGTTTTGATATAAGGAATTCTAGCCGGGAATATAACTCAGTGGCATAGCACCTGCCTGACAAGCATGAGGTCCTGAGTTTGATTCTCAATACAAAAAAAAAAAAAAAATTGATAGGAGTTCCTTCTTGATCCACAAGGACAAGCACCATGCCATCTGCAACCATGCCAGCTAGAACAGCCCCTGCCTACGCCACTGTTGTTAGGGGATGTGTTATCCCAGCCAATCCTAATGAATACCTGATATCATGCCTGAGGGTGCAAGAACCCAAGAACAATATGGGCTGTCATTCAGTTTCTGGGGCTCCTGAGTCTGAGGCATGTTGAGAAGTACCCCATGCTGCCCAGGTCTTGCCATCAGATCCACTTCATATCCCTGCCTTCTGTCTTTTTTTGGTCTGTTTTTTGAGGCAGAGTCTCACTGTGCAGCTCAAACTGGCCTTGAACTCACAGGGATACTCCTGCCTCAGCTTTCTGAGTGCTGGAAGTACAGGTGTGGGCCACCATACCCAGCTTCTCTCCTTGAGTCTTTTTTTGTTTGTTTGTTTGTTTGTTTCTTCTTCCAGTACCAGGAATTGAACTCATGACCTTGCGCTTGCCAGGCAGGCGCTTTGCCGCTGAGCTAAGTCCCCAGCCCCTCTTTTTTTTTCTTTTTTTTTCTTTTGTCTTTTTGGTCTTTTTGAGACAGGGTCTAGCTATGCAGTTCAGGCTGGCCTTGAGTTCACTTTGTAGCCCAGGCTGGCCTCGAACTCGCAAAGATCCTCCTGCCTCAGCCTCCCAAGTGCTGGGATTACAGAAGTGCACCACTATGCCTAGCTCCTTGAGTCTTAATACCACTGTCAACAATCAGGAACACAGGAGCAATGCAGCAGATAACACCAGCCAGAGAGGCGCTGGTGAAGTGGCTTTGAAAGTCCCAGCCCTCCCCAGGATGCTGTGACTTCTCTGTCCTACAGTAGGAGCCCAAAACATCCCGAGTCCTTGGACTCTCTCGGCCAGCCTGACCTGGGATGTTATGTAGCAAGCACTTCATCTCAGCTGGCACTCATTCTGTCCCTGGCATTCAGCCCTGGCTCTTTCCCTTTTGGGCCCCACCAGGGTGAGCTGGCATAAGACACGTTCATTTTAAGATTGGCCTAAGAAAAAGTTTCAGGAAAGGAAGCAACTGACTGAAAATATCACAGCGCTGTTCAACAGAGCAGAATGGGTTTCCCAGGACAATGTGATAAACTACGACAAACCGGATGCTTACAAACAACAGGAATTTATCCCTCACATTCTGGAGTCCAGAAGTGCAGTCAAGGGGTTCTCCTGGAGGCAGGGAGGGGGGACCTCCCCCCCAGGCCTTGCACCAGCTGTCAGTGTCCTTGCTGCCCTGGGCAGGAGCCCTGTGACCCATCTATGCCCCTGTACTCACATGGCCTTCTTACGTATGTCTGTCTCTCCTTCTCTGGGGACCTCACTCACTGGATTTAGGGCCTGTCCTAATCCAGGATGATCCCATCCCAGATCCTTAATGTGAGCACACCTGTAAGGACCCAGCTTTCAAATAAGGTCACATTCCCAGGAGGCCAGACACCCAGCCCCCTCCCCTTGGTTTTGAGGATTTTGAGTTGGTTGCAGGATGTTGAGAGGAGGAAACCTGTGCCTGGGGCCTTGGAACACACAGCCCTACTCACAGCACTAACACACAGAGCAGGGACACACCAGCTCTGATGCTTGCCCTGGGGCTCAGCGCCCACAGGCTGTGACCAGAGTCCTCTACACAGATGTCACCCTGGCTAAGGCCAGCCTAGCCAGCAGGGCCCTCACAAGGCACACAGACAAGAATCTGCTGTGCTGGCTTTGCAGCTCCATCCCAAGAAACCCTGGATGTGCACATGCAGCTTCCTGCTTCCGGCTCCCTTGCATTCGCTTATCCCAGCACCCAGGGAGGATGTGTGACCACAGGGCTGGGCTCTGTGAAGGAGGCTTGGTGTGTGTCTCCTTTCCTGGACTTCCAGTCTCTAAGCCGGAATCTCCCCAGGCCAAGACAGACAGGACACAGTCAGCAGTTATGGACTGTGTCCCGCTTACCGGGTGACCCTGGCCAAGGCCTCCCCTTAGAATAAGGCAAGTCACGGGGCTGCCACTGTCACTGTCAGGAAGGGCCTTGCCTGTGCTGACTTGGCAAATGAGGAACAGCCCAGGGCCATCTGCAAGGGCAGGGCCCTACCCTCACCCCACCCAGGGCTCTGGCCAGCCCAGGGAAGAAACAAGCCCTGCCTCAGGGTGTGAGCCACATGCTGGGGTCCCCTAGGAATCTAGGGAGACCTTGAGGCTGTCCCCAAGAGGCAGGCACCTTGTTAGCCAGGTGCACCAGGGCAGGTTCTCCCAAAGGAAAAGCAAGGTTTCAGTCAGCGGCAGAAATGCTTGACTCTGCAGCCGCCTCTGTGCACAGCGGCTGTCCCTTCCCCTCCTGCCCTCCAGTGTCCACCGCAAGCAGATGGGGAAAGTGGGAAGCCTCAGGGGCAGCCCTAGCTGGGCCCAGCTGAGTCTTAGCCAGGGTACCCTTCACCATCCTGGCAGAAGCTGGAGAAAGTGCTGAAGCCTAGCATAGTGCCTGGGCAAGATGGTAATACTCAGACATACACTAAATTCAAATCATCCTTCAAATAAGGATCAGCTTACTGAACATAAAAATTCAAAGCCCTATTTTTTTCTGGACTTTTAGGGCTCTCACTATGTAGCTTAGCTGGACTCAAACTTGCAATCTTCCAGCCTCAGCCACTATGCCCAGGCAAACTGAATCTGTGAGTTTATAAAGTATCCTTTGTCCTGTACTTTCTACTTGAATCGACGATGAAGTCTCAGAAATCTCAAGAACTCAAACAGATTAAAACGTTCAAAGTAGTAAACTAAACCCCAAGTTACCTTACATATTTCACAAATCTGAACATGAAACACAGCTGTGTTCAGGGTTCACTCATAGAAATGGTAAGGGCTCTGGCTCTCAGGGTTTCTGGCTTAGGTCATGACTTTCTTCGCCTTTTGTGGCTGACAGAAGCCACTTTCAGCCAAGGGACCTGGGGCCCCTTGGTGCCAAGTGTGTGGTGGCAACTCAGTAGGGCTCCAGCCGGCCCAGAGGGGCTCTGCGGGGGGAGTGGGGTGCACCCAGAGTGGGTTCTGTTCTTTAGTTCAAAGACCTCAGACCTCGAGAGGGTCCTACAGAAGATAATGCTTTTCCCATTCAAATGACTGCGACTCCCAGGGCTCCCCGCACTGCTCAGGGGCCCTCTTCAGAGCTCTGCTCCACTAGGGGTCACCGTATGGGCCACTTGCCAGCAACGAGGTGCTGAGCTGGATGCTAGGAAAGCAGACAGCCTCCCCACACACGCCCAGCCCCTCTGTAAAGACTGGGACACAGCTGGCAAAAATTTGAGGAAGAGAAAGAAGGAAACGTGATTAGAAAGAACGACCAAACTCCCTCGTGGCGAAGCCTCCAAGGAAGCAGGAATGGGGAAGCGGCCCCACAGTCGTCCTGGAGCACGGGCTGGGTGGGGACCGGCCCTAAGGTTTCTGCAGGAAGTTGCTGGGAACAGCAGGGGAGTGACGTGCGGCCTGGCCGCTGGGGACTAAGTGGCGAGAAGCGCACTCGATCGCGCGAGGCAGGCCCCCTCCTCCCGGGGGCCAGGAGAGGAGCTCCGGGTCCTGTTTGTCTCCTGGTTCCCGCTGCCTCAACCTGCAACACCGAGGCGAGGAGGGCGAGCCCGGACCCCGGACCCGTGGGATTTGGCCTGGTACACAGGGCGTCCCTGCTTTAGCTAGGCCTAAGTCACCAGGAGCAGCCGCACTGGGGAGCCGTGGAGCGCAAACCCCACCCATAGGTTCCGGCCTCCTGCGGCGCGCCCCCGCCCCCGCCCAGTGTGCCAGAGGGCGGGCGGAAGTTGGCGTGGCGAGAGCAGCGGGCTGTAGGCGGGACTTCCGGAGCGCTGCTGTGTCTTCCGGTCGTGCGCTAGGAGTCCGGGCGGCCTCCGGACATGAAGGTGAGCCGTGTGCGGCCGCTCTGCCCCGCCTCCTCCGGTGCTTCGGCTTCCGCCCCGTGTGGCGGGCGTGCCGGGCGGCGAGACTCTGCCGGGGTCCTGACGGGCGAGAGGCGCGGGCGGCGCCGGCGGGCGCGCGTGAGCGAGCCAGTGGGACGGCGCACGGGGAGTGTGAGAGCGCGCGAGGGTGAGGGTGGCGAGTGTGGACACCCGTGAGCACGCGTGAGTGCGAGCCCGTGTGTGCGCGGGTGAGGAGCAAGCGCGACGGGACCCAGGCCCAGACCAGGTGCTGTGGAAGGAGGCGGTGAGCGGGCCGGCGGAGCGTGCAGTGAGCGTGCGCAGAGCGAGAGAGGCGCGGGGTACTGGAGTCCTGCGGGGGGCGCGGACGGGGAGTGCAGTCGGTGTGCGTGGTGGTGGCCAGCAGGTCCCGGCAGGAGGGCGCGGGCCTGTGGGTGTCCCCGACGGCGCGCATTGGCCCCTTGAGCTTGTGGGTGCAGCAAGCCGGGTCTCCTCTGCACAGGGCTGGAGACACGACGCTGAAGGGTGACTCGCCTGCCCCTTGCTTCGCAGGTCTGTGTACTGAAGCCCAGAGAGGTCAAAGGACAGCAGACTGGTGACAGAACTGGACCTTGCGCCATCTCATTGCAGTCCTGTTTCCACTGCGCTGTGAAATTGGTGTAGTGCCGTGGCCACGCGCCCCAGTGCGGCAGGCTGCCTGCTGGGTCAGTCTCTACATCCTTGAATGGGGTAACCATGTCCCGGGCTGTGGAGGAAACCGTGGGCAAACACCAGGCTGGCGTGCAACACGTGATCAATAAACATCACCCGGGGTTGTGATTTCTGCCTCCTACTCCCCCTTCATTTCTGAGCGTATACACCTGTCACCACAAAACTTGGTCGGCTCCAAAATGTGTACTCAAAGGTGACCACAAACATGACGACTGTTCTACGTCATAAGAGCCGCCTTTCTGGTATCAAAGTCAGCTAAGGGTTTGGAGGTATGGCTCAGTGGTAGAGCCTGCCGCGCAGAATGTCCAGTCCCTAACGATACAACAGAGACAATCAGGCACCTCACTGTGGCCTCAGTCACAGGTACCTAGGGCGCATCTATGGGTGCACCTATTAACGTTCTCAGGAGTCAGCCTAAGGGTTAGAAACCGGTTCTTAACAAAAGTCAGTGTGTCACTGAGGAGAGTTAGTTTCAGTCAGCTTCTTACTCTCAGCAGGGGTGCTGGCTCTTTCTTCTTTTTTTCTTTTTGGTACTGGGAATCCAAACTCAGGACCTCATGCTTGCCAGGCAGGCACGATTCCACTGAGCTGTGTTCCCAGCCCTGCTGGCTCATTTCTTACTGTGGGTCTGCATGAAATTCATTTATATTTCATCAACCCTGGTGAGATGGTCTACCAGTGCTGTGGGATTCGGAGCTCCAGAAGAGCAACAACAGTCTGCTTTTCCTTGTTAGCTTGTTTGTTTGTTTATTTTCTTTGTTTGTTTGGAGGCAGAGTCTCACTACATAGTTCATCCTGGCCTTGAACTCAATAATGTAGCCCAGGCTGGCCTCAAACTCAGCAATCCTGCCTCAGCCTCCTGAGTGCTGGAATTTACAGGCATGTGCCACCATGCTGGGTTTATTTTTGGTTCTGTAGTTCAACTGGCCTTGAACTTGCAGGGATCTTCCAACCAAGTGCTGGGATTACAGGTGTATGCCACCTGGCCCAGCATCACTGTTAAGTTTGTTATGAAGCAGGTTCGGAGACATGGTTGGGCAATGTCGCCCCCTCCACTTTCTGCCCAAAGGAGTGTCACTGGTACTTGGAGAAATCACACATTTTGGTGCAAGAACAATGTGTGAGAACTCAGGCGTCAGCTATGTGAAGAGCACAATGGAAAGTCGGCCTTGGAGTACTGACCAGTGGTGTCGGGGTGGCCATGAGAAGTGTGGCAGCCTGGACACGCCTCACAAATCACACACTTCCCTGGCAGGTGGAACCCAGCACTCAGGAGTAGCCTGCATCCCAGAGCTTCATCCCATAGACAGACTGCTGGGTATGAGTGGTCAGTGGCAGCCCTGGCCCTGGCCTTGTGCCTCATCAGGTTCCTCTGGTGCCTCCCTGCCAGGTACAGAAGCAGACAGGCCCACCATCCTCCTGCATGTGTCTAGACATGCCCCCTCTACTTTCATCTTTCTTCCTGGAGGTTGGAGACTAGAGGGTGTTAGATGGCAGGGCTCGAGGTAGGTGGACAGTGGCCTGCTACAGGAGCAGACCACAGCAGGGCATGGACACCCAGGCAGCCCCGTGGGTTACTCCTAGACCACTTCCCAGGAGGATCTCTCCTACTTGGTTTCTCATCACTTCTGTGACCCCTGTCACCCAGGGGAGAGAAAGCCTATCTGTAGTCATGAAAAGGGCTGAACAGTCTCAGCCTGACCAGGCAAGCTGCAGGTGATTCTGATCCCCAATCCCTGGAAGTGTGAGCCACTCAGCCCAAGCCTGAAGTCACAGCAGAGAGATGGAGGGCTGAGTGGCAGGAGACTGCTGCCCCTTGATTCAAATTCTGGTGTTGGAGAGGGGCTGGTGAGGAGGATACTGGGCATGGAGAACTGTGATCTGGCCTGGGTCTCACCCCTCAGGTTTGCTGTGGCTCTTGGAATTGTCACTGCCCTTGCCCGAGGCTACATGCACAGCACATGGTACTGTTCTACACACCTGTGTGTTCCTCTCCTAACCCCTAGTTCCTCAGCCTGAATCTGTCCTGTAACTTCCCAGGGCTCTGCACCTGCCATTTCTGACACGTGTGTGGGGGCAGTTTGGGGGGAAGACCAAAGTAAGACCCAGGGAAATGACAGTGAAAAGGGGTGACCTGTGCCCCTCCAGGTGCCTGGCCAGGAGTTTGGGGTGGCCCTGGCTCTGGTGTCTCCTGACTGGGTCAACTAGGCCCGGCTGGGGCTCCTTGGCCTCTTTGGCCTAGGTTCTAGTATCCTCTGTGGTGCCCATGACTTTGCCTGCCTATGCTTGTGGTTGGCAAGCCCCACAGCTGGGGTGCAGCTGAGCATCAGGGATGTCAGACTAGGTAACAGGCTTCTGGACACCTGATGTCCTGAGGGCTCAGAGGACACAGCCTGGCTGGGCCATGCTTGTTGCCCAGCTGCCCTCAGAGAGTGCAAAGAGGCAGATGCCTAGAATCTGAAAACAAACTGTACAACTAATAGAAGTTCAGGGCAAGCCAGGCATGCTGGTGCACGCCTGTAATCCCAGCACTCAGGAGGCTGAGGCAGGAGGATCATTGCAAGTTTGAGGCCAACCTGGGCTACAAAGTGAGTTCCAGACCAGCCTGAACTGTGTAGTAAGACTCTGTCTCAAAAAGGCAAAAAAGAAGTTCAGAGCAGCTGGACATGGTGTTGCACGTGATATTGCACACCCCAACACCATGGGAGGCCGAGGCAGGAGGATCACAAGTTTGAGCCCTGCCCAGGCAATTTACCAATTTAAAAATAAAAGTATGTAAAATAAATATAGCTGGGGATATTGCTCAATGCAAGGGTCCTTCGTCCAAGCATGGGATCCTCCTGCCTCAGCCTCCTGAGTAGCTGACATTATAGCCAGGTGTAGGGGACCTAGCTCTGTGTACTTTTCCATGTGGATATGTACATGGAGAAGCAGGGCTGTGCTGCATAAATGTGGTTTTGTGATATGTGTTAACCAGCATAGTTGTGAGCTGTGGTGCCTGTCTGTGTGCAGCGCGCAGACATGTTAAGTCCTATGCATGATTCCTGGGGCCAGATGATACAGCTCAGTGGCATAAGCGACTGCCTGGCAGGTGCATGGTCCTGAGTTTGATTCCCAGTAACCACCCCCAGAAAAACCAAAAACTGTCCATGCGTGGTTCCTGTGTGGGAGTCCCCAGCGTGCAGCTGGAGAACACAAGGAGTACACATTGGGGAGTGTGATGTACGTGACCAGACTGTCATCAGCAAACCTCTTCCCAGCTCAAATTCCCCCTCAGCCTAAGAGGTGTTGTCAGACCCTGGTGCAGTCATCTCTCTGTCCCGTTCCATCCCTCTGCTTGGAGTGTGTAACTGGGTGACGCTGAGCTGTTCATTCCTGGGGCTTTAAGTGCCCATGTTATATTGTACCTCTTCTTGCTTCCTATGGTATTGGGACCTGAACCCCAGGTCTCACACGCTAGGCAAGTGACTCTGCTACTGAGCTGCATCCCAGCTTTTCTAATGTTTTTACTTGGCAACAGAGACTTGATGAGCTGCTCATGTGGCCTCAAACTTGGGACTGTCTTGGCCCAGCCTTCTGAGTAGCTGGGATATCAGGCATGTGCTATTATTCTTAGCCCCCTTCCTTCCTTCTTCCCTCCCTTCCTCCTATTTTCTTTCTTTCTTTCTTTCTTTCTTTTGTTTTTTGAGACAAAGTCTCACTACGTAGTCCAGGCTGACCTCAAACTAGTGGCAATCCTCCTGCCTCAGCCTCCCAAATGCTGGGATTATAGGTATGCACCACTATGCCTAGCCCTTTCTTATTTTTTAGTGGAACATTTTTCACTGGGGTGTCTGTCTTTTCTTCCTGCCCCACTTCTTTTTCCTCCTCCTCCTCCTCCTTTTCTTTTTACCTTTTCAGTACTAGGGATTAAACCCAAGGTTTTTGCATTGAGTTACAGCCTCATCTCTGTATATTTATTTATTGTTATTTTGAGACAGGTTTTTGCTAAATCACTACATTGTCCAGGCTGGGCTTGAATTTGCAGTCCTCCTACCTCAGCCTCCCAGAA